CAGGGGCCCAAGGCGACCAGGGTCCCCCAGGCGACTAGGGGCGACCGGGGGCCCCAGGCAACCAGGGGCCCCATGCGACCAGGCCCCCGGCTACTAGGGGCCCCCTGGGCGACTAGGTACCCCCAGGCGATCAGGGGCCTCAATATCATGCAACCAGAGGCCCCCCATGCGACTAGGGCCCCCTAGGCGACTAGGGGCCACAGACTATCAGGGGCCCATACGACCAGGCCCCCGGCTATCAGGGCCCCCTAGGCAACTAGGGGCCCCCAGTCGATCAGGGGCCTCATGCGACCAGAGGCCCCCCATGCGACCAGGGCCCCCTAGGCGACTAGGGGCCACAGGCTATCAGGGGCCCCATGAGACCAGGCCCCCGGCTACCAGAGGCCCCCTAGGCGACCAGGGGCCCAGGAAACTGGGGGCCCTTGGATGACTGCAGGGGCCCCTCGGGTACCCAGGGCACATAAATGAAACTTAAATATAAATTTTTCTTCCGAGTAAAAGACGTTTTATCCAGTGTTTAAAAAATATCCTGGGGCCTGAGGGACCCCCTGAGCGCCGAAGGCGCTCAGGGGGGGCCTTGGCCCCCGTGCCCCCCCCTTGGGTACGTCACTGATTCCAACAGAGTCCCGCTTTTTATAGGTGACCTCCGATTTGTGTACCTAGCCTCTAAGTTGCCCAGGGGGCCTCTGATTTGTAGGTACATACAATACCAAGAGCCTCCTACTTCGGCTACTTGCACAGAGAGCCTCCTTTTTGTACATACAGCTAAGCTTCTACAGGTCGAGCGCCAGCCTCCTATTTGTACGTACAGAGAGCCTCCTTCTGTTACAGAGGGCCTCCTATTTGTCTAGGGGGCCTCCTATAGGTTAATGGCGCCTCCTATTTGTCCAAGTGGCCTCCTATTCGTCTAGGGGGGCCTCATATTTGTTCAGGAGGCCTCCTGTTTGTCCAGAGGGTCCCCTATTTATCCAGGGGGCTTCTATTTTCCAGGGGGCCTCCTCTTTATCCAGGGGGCTTCCTACGTGTTCAGGGGCCTCCTATTTATCCAGGGGTCTTCTTTTCGACCAGGGGTCTCATAATTGTGCAGGGGCCTCTTATTTGTCCAGGGGTCTCCTACTTGGGCCTCCTTTTTTGAAGGGCCTCCTTTTTGTTAAGGGAGCCTTCTAATTGTTCAGGGGCCTCCTATTCGTACAGAGGGCCTCTAGCTCCTACTTGTCCATGGGGGCTCCTATTTGTTCAAGAGGCCCCCTATTTGTACAGGGGGCCTCCTATTTGTCCAGGGGGCCTCCTATTTGTCCAAGCGGCTGTTATTTTCCTAGGGGGCCTCCTATTTGCCCAAGAGCCCTCCTATTTGTCCAGCGGGCCTCCTCCTTGTTCAGGGGGCCTCCTATTTGTCCAGGGGGCCTCCTATTGGTTAAAGTAGCCTCCTATTTATCCAGAGGGCTCCTATTTTTAGGGGGCCTCCTCTTTATCCAGGGGGCCTCCTTCTTGTTCAGAGGGCCTCCTATTTATCCAGGGGCCTTCTATTCGTCCAGGGGGCCTCCTATTTGTCCAGGGGCCTCCTATTTATCCAGGGGTCTTCTATTTGACCAGGGGTCTCATAATTGTGCAGGGGCCTCTTATTTGTCCAGGGGTCTCCTACTTGGGCCTCCTTTTTTGAAGGGCCTCCTTTTTGTTAAGGGAGCCTTCTAATTGTTCAGGGGCCTCCTATTCGTACAGAGGGCCTCTAGCTCCTACTTGTCCATGGGGGCTCCTATTTGTTCAAGAGGCCCTCTATTTGTACAGGGGGCCTCCTATTTGTCCAGGGGGCCTCCTATTTGTCCAAGCGGCTATTATTTTCCTAGGGGGCCTCCTATTTGCCCAAGAGCCCTCCTATTTGTCCAGCGGGCCTCCTCCTTGTTCAGGGGCCTCCTATTTGTCCAGGGGGCCTCCTATTGGTTAAAGTAGCCTCCTATTTATCCAGAGGGCTCCTATTTTTAGGGGGCCTCCTCTTTATCCAGGGGGCCTCCTTCTTGTTCAGAGAGCCTCCTATTTATCCAGGAGCCTTCTATTCGTCCAGGGGGCCTCCTATTTGTCCAGGGGGCCTCCTAATTGTCCAGGGGGTCTCCTTTTGTGAAAGGGGCCTCCTATTTGTCGAGGGGGCTCCTAATTGTCCAGGGGGCCTCCTGTTTGTCTAGGTCTAGGGCCTCCTATTTGTCCAGGCCCAGGGGGCCTCCTATTCGTACAGAGGGGGCCTCCTATGTCCAATACTTGTTCATGGGGCCTCCTACTTGTTTAGGGGGCCTCCTACTTGCTCAGGGGGCCTCCTATTTGTCCAGGGAGCCTCCCATTTGTCCAACAGGGCCTCCGATTTGTCCAAGGGGCCTCCTATTTATACAGAAAACCTTCTATATGAATATCGGATCTCCGTTTGTAAAGTAGCTGGTGAGTCTCGGGGGCCTCCACTATTGGGGTCCCAAAATGACAATTGGGGTCCCAAATGTTCGCACTGGGGTCCCAATGGGACCTCGAAAGTATACAAAGTTACACCCATGGTGGTCAGGGAAGGTCTATGGCTCCTCACGTACTAACATAGGGCTCCTGTTCCAGGCTGATGAGGGACAGTGTGGTGGTCAGGGAAGGTCTATGGCTCCTCACGTACTAATATAGGGCTCCTTTTCCAGGCTGATGAGGGACAGTGTGGTGGTGAGGGAAGGTCTATGGGTCCTCACGTACTAACATAGGGCTCCTGTTCCAGGCTGATGAGGGACAGTGTGGTGGTCAGGGAAGGTCTATGGCTCCTCACGTACTAACAACATAGGGCTCCTTTTCCAGGCTGATGAGGGACAGTGTGGTGGTGAGCAGGGCTGCGGAGTCGGAGTCGGAGTCGGAGTCGGAGTCGGTCGGAGTCGACAGTTGTGACCGGAGTCGGAGTCGGAGTCGGAGTCGATTTTAGAAACCCGAGCCGGAGTCGGAGTCGGAGTCACCGAAAATCTGTCGACTCCGCAGCCCTGCTAGGTCTGCGGAGTCGGAGTCGGGAGTTGGAGTCGGTCGGAGTCGACAATTCTGCCCGGAGTCGGAGTCGGAGTCGGAGCTGGTTTTTGAAAGCCGGAGTCGGAGTCGGAGTCGGAGTCGCCGAAAATCCATCGACTCCGCAGCCCTGGTGGTGAGGGAAGGTTTATGGCTCCTCACGTACTAACATAGGGCTCCTTTTCCAGGCTGATGAGGGACAGTGTGGTGGTCAGGGAAGGTCTATGGCTCCTCACGTACTAACATAGGGTTCCTTTCCCAGACTGATGAGGGACAGTGTGGTGGTGAGGGAAGGTCTATGGCTACTCACGTACTAACATAGGGCTCCTTTTCCAGGCTGATGAGGGACAGTGTGGTGGTCAGGGAAGGTCTATGGCTCCTCACGTACTAACATAGGGCTCCTGTTCCAGGCTGATGAGGGACAGTGTGGTGGTCAGGGAAGGTCTATGGCTCCTCACGTACTAACATAGGGCTCCGTTTCCAGGCTGATGAGGGACAGTGCGGTGGTGAGGGAAGGTCTATGGCTCCTCACGTACTAACATAGGGCTCCTTTCCCAGGCTGATGAGGGACAGTGTGGTGGTGAGGGAAGGTCTATGGCTCCTCACGTACTAACATAGGGCTCCTTTTCCAGGCTGATGAGGGACAGTGTGGTGGTCAGGGAAGGTCTATGGCTCCTCACGTACTAACATAGGGCTCCTGTTCCAGGCTGATGAGGGACAGTGTGGTGGTCAGGGAAGGTCTATGGCTCCTCACGTACTAACATAGGGCTCCTGTTCCAGGCTGATGAGGGACAGTGTGGTGGTCAGGGAAGGTCTATGGCTCCTCACGTACTAACATAGGGCTCCGTTTCCAGGCTGATGAGGGACAGTGCGGTGGTGAGGGAAGGTCTATGGCTCCTCACGTACTAACATAGGGCTCCTGTTCCAGGCTGATGAGGGACAGTGTGGTGGTGAGGGAAGGTCTATGGCTCCTCACGTACTAACATAGGGCTCCTGTTCCAGGCTGATGAGGGACAGTGTTGTGGTGAGGGAAGGTCTATGGCTCCTCACGTACTAACATAGGGCTCCTTTTCCAGGCTGATGAGGGACAGTGTGGTGGTGAAGGAAGGTCTATGGCTCCTCACGTACTAACATAGGGGCTATAGGGCTCCTGTTCCAGGCTGATGAAGGACAGTGTGGTGGTGAGGGAAGGTTTATGGCTCCTCACGTACTAACATAGGGCTCCTTTTCCAGGCTGATGAGGGACAGTGTGGTGGTAAGGGAAGGTCTATGGCTCCTCACGTACTAACATAGAGCTCCTTTTCCAGGCTGATGAGGGACAGTGTGGTGGTGAAGGAAGGTCTATGGCTCCTCACGTACTAACATAGGGGCTATAGGGCTCCTGTTCCAGGCTGATGAGGGACAGTGTGGTGGTAAGGGAAGGTCTATGGCTCCTCACGTACTAACATAGGGCTCCTTTTCCAGGCTGATGAGGGACAGTGTGGTGGTAAGGGAAGGTCTATGGCTCCTCACGTACTAACATAGGGCTCCTTTTCCAGGCTGATGAGGGACAGTGTGGTGGTGAGGGAAGGTCTATGGCTCCTCACGTACTAACATAGGGCTCCTTTTCCAGGCTGATGAGGGACAGTGTGGTGGTCAGGGAAGGTCTATGGCTCCTCACGTACTAACATAGGGCTCCTGTTCCAGGCTGATGAGGGACAGTGTTGTGGTGAGGGAAGGTCTATGGCTCCTCACGTACTAACATAGGGCTCCTTTTCCAGGCTGATGAGGGACAGTGTGGTGGTGAAGGAAGGTCTATGGCTCCTCACGTACTAACATAGGGGCTATAGGGCTCCTGTTCCAGGCTGATGAAGGACAGTGTGGTGGTGAGGGAAGGTCTATGGCTCCTCACGTACTAACATAGGGCTCCTGTTCCAGGCTGATGAGGGACAGTGTGGTGGTGAGGGAAGGTCTATGGCTCCTCACGTACTAACATAGGGCTCCTGTTCCAGGCTGATGAGGGACAGTGTGGTGGTGAGGGAAGGTCTTCATCTGCTGGTTCAGAGTGGAGCCATCATGCTCCGGTAACCACCTACCGCGCTGCAGAACAGGAGAACCACGCCTGGTTCCTGACGCTGCAGAGCAGGAGAACCGTGCCTGGTTTCTGGCGCTGCAGAACGGGAGAACCATGCCTGGTTTCTGGCGCTGCAGAACGGGAGAATCACGCCTGGTTCCTGGCGCTGCAGAACAGTGGGAAGCTGGTCCAGCATACCAGGGTCCTGCAAGTTTTGCAGCTTTGGCTCAATTCAACAGCGAGAAGGAATAACCAATGGTTTCTGAGGGGTCCTCAAAGCGCACCACGATAGGCGGCACGGGCGGACATCGACAGCAGCGCCTCTATCGGTCACTAGGGAAAGCTGGGCTGTTTTTGTTTTGTTTATTTGTTTATTTGTAATTATCACCAACAGAGAAATTCTCCACTAACAGGTGAAGTCAGGAAAATAAAATGCATCAACACACACAACGGTATGAGGGAACCGCACGAGTATGAACATTCATTCAGACTGAAAACAAAATCCACAGTTCGAAGTATAAATATGAGAATGAAGGTAAGAGGCGACTGTAGGTAGGCGACGAAATACCGGCTGAGTTGTCACACGTTGAATAGGTTTATAGACATCAGTCTTGTGAAAAAGTTGAACTTTTGCCATCAATATTTCTACAGGCAATTTTAGAAGTGTCTCCACATAGATAACAAAACCGTTTAGATTATTGTATTCACTTCAAGCATTCCCTATCGTTCTTGACGATGATGCGGGAACTATTTCTAATTAATGTTTCTAGCTTAGCAAAAGAACATATTGTGCAAACGATGAAAAAAAGCATAAATGGAAATTTTTAATTGCAATTTTCTCTAACAATTAATGGTAAATTATCTACACATCAAGGAAAAGGTGCATGGTAACTGATAATTTAAAGTTCTTGGGGCCAGTTGTTTTCTTCTTTTCTTACGTCGCCCCAATGGCCGCGAATACACTTGTGATAACGCCTATCGAGATACAAAGAACCGGTTATAATATATCATATTGGCCGTTTTCACGACGGAACTTTCGCAGAGGAACTTATTTGATACCTAAAAAGTACCTACCCTTAGAGGCCTTAACATCCCTCAAACTGAAATATTTTATGTTCAAAATAATTTTAGAAGTTTAAATCCGGGCATTTTTTTGCCCTCAAATCACTTATTTATTTACAAACACAGCAATTTTTGGTTCTAGTAGCCCACCTTTCGACTATGAGGTATTAAATCAGCGTGGCAACTTGCTCCCTCTTTGCTCCCTCGGGTATCTAATTCCGGAATTCTTAAAAACAAGGAAAGTATATGTTACGGGCCAAGTGCGAAGGCTAGTCCGTTTGCGAACGGACTAGTCCATTCGCGAATGGACTAGGCCGTTTGCGAATGGCGGTCCGTTTGCAAACGGACTAGTCCGTTTGCGAATGGCCGGCCATTCGCGAATGGCCTAGGCCGTTTGCGAACGGACGGGTTTGTGGCGTTGCACTTAGCCGCCGGAAGCATGGATCCTCGGATTGGGGTACGATTCCGAATGAATGGGGGACCGCTGGTCGATGCAGGGGCATCGCCGACGGGGGGGGGGGGGGGGTCGGAGGGGTCCGGACCCCCCCCCCCCACACACACACACTCTTGAAAATATGCCGGTCCGACGCCCCCCCTCCCCCCACACTTTTGGCCACGAAAATCGATCAAGAATAAAATAAAATATTTTAAGAACGATTTTGGTGCATTCTCAAAATATAATTGTCTAAATCCGAGGAGTTTTCAGTATTTGGTGGGGATTACTTTGACTGACCGTCCGACCAGCTCCCCTAGTCGAAAATCCGTGGCGACGCCACTGCGTCTATATGTTTAGTTTGTTCTCCGGAGCAGATCTGCGAGCTGGCGCAACTCTGGGTTAAGGTCTCCACACACCTGGTCCATTCGGGATGCGACTTTCCGCTGAACCCTGCACAACGCGGAAATTATAGCAACGTGTTGCCGCTGGCCAGGCTTCGGCCACCGATCTGGATCTGGGGAGGTCAAATATCCCCGTGACCTTCGAACAGCGGAGAGTCGCGTGGTGTGCGGAGACCATTAGTACCGTGCTCCGGGCTCCCCGCTGATGACCCGACCTGACCTTGGTCGAGTTTGTGGCGCTCGATTCATTCTGCTCTGGTGTGGTGTACCGGGACGGTGCGGCTTGTGTGTGGTGAGTGCGGTGCGATGAGTGTTCGAAAAACTGTTGTGTTGCATTGCATTTAACAATACGCGCACTGCAGGGGGGGTTGCTTTCAACCCCCCTGTGGTTTTTCACAGATCACGAGAAAACGGCGGCGCGCAGCAAAGCCAAATTTTGTATACTTTTTCTCCCATATTCTGCGCACATTGTGTGAAAATGCTGACTCCAGATGACCTAAGGTCAGGTCACCAGGCCAGGTTAAGTGACGTCACCTCCGAAAAAGTTTGCACTTGCACTAAAGCTACAGCTGTTGAGCAATCGATATGAAACTTTCAGGATGTAGTAAGGGTGACACTGACCCGGTTTCCATGGGCACTTTGAAACATAGCGGATTACGGGAGGATTAGGGTTGTAATTCCGACCCGTACTCACGGAACCCATGTTTTTAAGTGGATTAGGGTTCGAATGCCTCCGTTTTATCGGCTGAGAATAAAAAAGAATCGGAAATTACGGAAAGCAGGCTGTAATCGCACTAATCCTTTATTTCACTGATCCGATCAGTGAAATAAAGGATTAGTGAAGGTTGAAATAAAGGTTAAAGGTTAAAGGAAATAAAGAAATATAAAGGTTGAGTTACCAAAACTTTGCACGCATCATTTCACACGGGACTTTGCACATGCCAAGTTGACTTGCCAAGTTGACGTCACTTTGCTGGATATTTCGCACTTGGCCTGACTTCGCACTTGGACTGGGAGCATAAACGCCCGTCCATTCGCAAACGGCCTAGGCCAACTGCAATAACGCACATGGACTAGTCCATTCGCAAACGACCTAGTCCAAGTGCGTTATCGCACTTGGACTAGGCCATTCGCGAATGGACTAGCCTTCGCACTTGGCCCGCAACATATATATCGAGTTCTCTTTTATACCTATTCAGTTATGTTTTAATGGTGATTAAAATATGACAATTTTTTTTAATTACATTTCATATAAGAAAACACGCAAAACAATGAAACAACAATAACTACGGCAGATAATTACCTTCAGGTATCTAATTCCGACCAATCAGCACCTCAGTAGGATATGACGTCATACAAGAATGGTGGTGAAGGCCGTTTGCAGTCCCGGCCGGTAGGTCACGTGACCGCCGGGCGCCTCGGGTCACGCGGCGGTCGGGAGTCGGACGCGGGGCGTGGTCGCGGGCGGACGCGCGGGGCATCATGCTTTGCTTTGCTTTCTTGCTTTGTCAACTTCATATAACTTACTATCGCATTCGTGTGAAAGCCAAACACTGCTCAGTGCCTTTAGAAATTGAGTTTTGGAAAGCTCAAGTCCCTATAGCTCCTCAGGTCGGCAACAGTTGAAGCCTCATCTGAACCCATGTGAAAAAAACGAGGGTAAGGAACCTTGTGTTGCTTTTTCTTTTACCGTCATAATTATCTCAAACCATCACAATTTTGAGTTGCCACATTGTCTGCTTCACTACATTCGTGTAAAACTTGGGTGAAGGCTGGTGGCTCAAAGAAAGGTGAAGATATTTCTTTAAGTGCCTAATCCGTGAAATTGAAATATCCCGGCTTTACAAATCTACACTTTTCATTTTCTCCACGATACATTTTTTAAAATTGTTTAAATTTTATCTACATTTGTTAAAATCGGGGCTTTGGTTTTGTGTAAACTAGATCATAAAGTTTACTATAGTTTTGTGTAACCTGATGGCTGAAGAAAATAGTAATTTTGCTAAAATGATGTGCGGAAATTTGTTGCTTTCCAAATCAAATTACTCATACCTATATTTCATTCAAAATTAGGAGGCATTATTACTGTTTTTTCTTGTAACATGAACTGAGTTTGGGTACGGTGCTCCGGAAACGTTGTGGAACTTTAAGCTAGCTAGAGCAGTTTCCATAAAAATTGTTTAGATAGTTGACATGGCTTGTTGACAACTCTTTTGCTGTTTCTAAAAAAGTGAAAAAATATTTTCCTGCATTAAGCACACAAGGCATGTTATTCTCATAAGCTATCGAATGTGTGTGTGTGTTTTTAAGCTGTTTTTTTAAGCTTTTAAGCTGTAACTTCAGTTACTTCACTTTAGAACATATTGCCCAGAATGCGTCACTGATCATGAGCTGGTATATCATATCATATGTAACAAATACATAAATGAGAATAGTGTGTCATGAATTTTTGTGCATGCTTCTGGATCATCTGTAATTAAATCAAAGGCTCGGCTCAAGAGTGTCCTGCCGACCAGCTTATGCCCAACCCTTTCTGTCCGCAGAACGTCGCCTGCGACTCCCGCACGCCGTTTGCCCCGGCCGTCCGTACTGGTCTTCGCGCTGCGAGCCGCGCTGGAGTTCGCGGCGGCGTCGTGGAGCTCCCATCGGGACGGCGTGTGATGCCCGCGTCGAGCTTATAAGCCGTGAGCTTCGATTGGCGGCTCACGCGGTCACCAGCTGTAGCCTCGGCCCCGACGACCCCGCTAATGGCCGAGACAGGCATACCCCCGGCATGGGTCCGCTGTCCGGCGCAGCGCTGGCCGCCCGCATGCTATGCTACTTTTGGCTGTATCGCTGCCCAGCGGGAGCGCGCTCCACGCTGCGGAAGAGGTACACGTTGCGACCCGACTGAGGACTGCAACCGGATGGTGACACGTCGGTCTCTGCGCCCTGGCCGGGGCAGGCGTGACCGACGTCACAGTGGAGGAACGCCCAAACAAGACCAGCCAACCGTCGGAGCAGCATGGAAATATCATGTTCTGCCTGGACGTCGGACCCGGCGGCCGCAGTGCACCTGCACACGTGCGGAGAGGGGCGCTGGAGGCTACTCTGGAGCTTCTGCCATTCCGCGGCGCGACTGCTGGCAAAACGGCGGCGATTGAGGCGGTTGGGAACAGCTGCAGCAATGGTGATGGCGGTGATGGCGACATGGCGGTTTGGGACTTCATCTCAGCGCGGCCGCCGCCCAGGCGCCGCTGCGCCCGGCTGCTCAGCCACCTACCGGATGGCGGGGTGGCCCTTACGGCCCTCACGCCCGTTCGGTCTGCGGCCACGTTGTGGGGTGGCGGTCGCGGGGTTAGCGGCGTTGGACTTCGTCCTTTATCCAGACTGCACCGTACCATCTGAACGGATGGATCTGCCAAGAAAGATGACATCCAAGGCGGCTATGAGGCGATCACAAAGCTTCACCAAGAGCTTCTCCTTCATGGGGCCGGCCGGCCGTTAACCCTATTCCTGGCGGGCTCCGCGGGGACAAGAAACTGGCGGGGGGGCCGATTCGGCCCC